CTCCTTAGAAGTGAGGATGGTGAGACCTTGCCTCACATACTTTGGACATGTTATCAGGAGGGACCAGTCCCTGGAGAAGGACATCATGCTTGGTAAAGTAGAGGGTCAGCGAAAAAGAGAAAGACCCTTGTTATGAATTGAATTGTGGCTCCAAAAAATATGTGTTGTAATTCTTAATTCTATGGCTGTGGTTATAATCCCATTTGGGAATATGCTGTCATTGTTATGTTAACGAAGCAGGATTAGTATAGGGTATATTTTGGGTCAATCTCTTTTGAGATATAAAAGAGATTAAACAAGCAAACTAAGAAGCAGAGATGGGGGAAGAGAAATGCCAATCCACATGAAGATGGCCCAGGAGCGGAAGTTCAAAGAGACAAGCACCTTCCTCCAGAGCTGACAGAGAAAGACTTCCCTATAGCTAGCACCCTGAATTCGGACTGCTAGCCTCCTAAATCATGAGAAAATGAATTTGTTAAAGCCAACCATTTATGGTATTTCTGTTCTAGTGGCACTAGATAACTAAGACAACCCTCAACGAGATGGAATGACACAGTGGCTGCAACAATGGGCTCAAACATAGCAACAATTGTGAGGATGGTGCAAGACTGGGCCATGTTTCGTTCTGTTGTACGCAGGGTCGCTATGAGTTGGAACCAGTTTGATCAACAGGAGTCACAGCAGAAGATAAGAAAGATTGGAAAAATGAGCACCATTGCCCAGAAGTGACACGTATCACTTCTGCTAACATTTCATTTGCTTCCAGCCAAGAGGGCTGGGATATCTAGGGGAGCAAATGCAATAGTGGGTGAGCATTACTGTGTGCCACATGAATCATCTATATTAAGGGACCTAATCTCAGAGTTCTTTTCCACAGGCAGAGATTCTTCCTTCTCCCTCTACTTAATTAAGAACCACTCTCAATGACTTAGGATAGATGAGCTTCGATTCTTTTGAAACAAGTTTTGTTGCAGAGATGAAGACAAGCAGGAGACAAACACCTCCCTTGGTGACCCTGAAGCACTTTGCTCTTTTTTTGGGAGATGGTACTTAATTCACCTTTGCTTTCCTAACATTGAACATAGTGCCTGGCACATTGCAGCAACTCATTGTTTGTGTGGGATTTTGCATTGGAGCATTTCAGGTGAAAAGTCTACAGACTCCCACGGTGTTCTGCAGTCATGAGGAGTTTTTTTGGTTGTTGTTTTGTTTTTGTTGTTGAAACTCCTTCCATTCAGTTTAATAAAATCCAGAAAACACACTCAAATTCTGAGGGAAGAGGAGAAAGAACCAATTCAATGTGCACAATAATCACCTTTACTGTTTTTTTAATTGTACCACAACCACTCCCACACCTAATAAAATTTGTTATTTGTAGTGCCAAACAAGAAATAAACTCAATGCTTCTGAAGAGTAAGAAGAAATACATGAAGATTTATGTTATACAACAACAGTAAAGTAAAGGGATTTGATAAAGTGCTTTAAGAGGCTCAGTTACAGTCCATACTCCAATATTTATATTTCGCCTCTTCACTTCTGGTCTCTACCCTTGAAGCCATCTTAAACTGCACTGTCAGCTTTATCTTCTTCAAATATTACTTTCATAAGGTCTCTCTCCTGCTCACAACTCAGGACCAAACTCTTCAATTCTGGTAATTTTGCTCTTCATATAAGTTCTCTCTCTCTTTTTTTTTTTTTAATCAAGATTCCCAAATGAACCTTCTGCTGAAGTTAAGGCCAACTGTTCTGTAGGCTGTACACATTGGTTAACAACTCACTCACTGCCTGGAATACCACTTCCCTTCTTTTCCAGCTACTGAAATTTTGCCCATTGCTCAGGCCCAAATCGGGCCTCACACCTGCTTGAAGACTTCCCTGAATATTTCAACTCAGATCTATCTGAGATCTTGAAGCATCTGTGGTCTGTAACGGTTATCTGGGCATCAAGAAGAGTCCATAGTTTTAATTGAAATGTTTTGAGTCTGATTTGTTTCTCAGCTAGTCTGAGTTTCTTAAGGGCTATATTTTATTATGTTATATCCCTGTATATGGATTAATAGAGGGTACTCAAGAAATATTTAGTGCATGCCTACTATGATTTTAGGCTTTGTAGATGTGCCACTAGGTATTATAAGTATTAGTTGAATTATTGTATGAAGAATTGTAAGAAGCTATATTTTAGGACTACATGTTGGGCTGGATACTAAAGTGGTATCACTGCCTATTGCCATTCCAAATACAAGTTTTAATATAATTAATTTATTCATGTTTACCAAGATACTCCTGAACTTTTATATTGTAGTTTTAATGAAAATATCATTTTTGAAAATATTAATGCTAGATTTTTTTTTGAGAATTTATTCTTAATATTACCTACCTAGCGATTCTGCTTTATATGCCAATATGGTGTTTTGCCTGGTCATTAGCAGATCTGTTCCTGGATTTCCTAATCCACAAATATATACAAAATTTAGGTACAAAGATGATTCTAATTTTCTCTTACATCTTTAACAGATGGATTGTCTATTATGCTAGGTATGCTAATGTACAAACAAAAATATCCATTTCATTTATAAATTACAATCTTACTAAGTTTGCTTTAATAAGTTCATATTAAAGCAAACAATTACAACAAATCACAGCTTCTTAAAGTAGAAAATAGTCTATAGTTAGTCTTACTACCTTGTTCCCTTTATCTTTCAGAAATCCACTGATAATCTGAGGATAATGCTCTTCCAACCGCACCCTAAAGAGAAAAAATATCTTTTGAAAATTCCTCCTCCTGTCACCCTTACATTGTGCCTACATTTTCTCTGGTTTTCCTTTGACACTTAAACTCCTTTAAAAATAGCAAAAAACCAGAAAAGTTTCTTAACTCACACATCTCTTAACTTTGTCGTAAAATCCTTTGTCAGTTTACCCAGTACTCTTGAGTGGTTCTCCGTTTCTTTTTCGAGCAAATTTCACAGTTGTCTTGCAGCCTGATTTGCCAGTTTGGTTCCTGCTTTATCAGTTTCGTGATTCTTTGTACAGATTAATAACCATGAAAACGTCTAAAGTAAGGCACTTTCTGACAAAATTAGAGCAGCGTTTTCCCGTAAAGCAACTTGGTACCTCACAAAATTTAAGGCAGAAGAATGAGTGATAGAGCATGCACCAATAGGGAGTGGAGAAGAGTATTTTGTTGGAGTTTGCAACCCAATCCTTGGGAGCCAGAGGCGGGAATTTTAAATTGGGGTTGTTTTTTTCCCTGGAATTTTCTTAAAGTGGTATCGCTGCCTGTTGTTAAAGTTTGCAAAATCGCTAACTTAATTAGAGGGTTTTCCCTCCCTTGTTTTAAGTAAGGCAAAATGTGAAAATTGATTCCGTACATACTGAGGAGACTTCTAAGAACGGTCAATAGTATACTATATTACCAACAGATTCACTTGGTTACTTTTGTGTCAATTGCGGGGGTTGGTTAAAAGTTATTTTAAGACGGTTCATTTTTCAAGACCAAATATCAGATGTCAAATTGCTGCATTGAAAAAAAATTTTTTCTAAAAGAAATTAAAAGTAAAGAGGCTAACATTGATTGGTATTTAAAAAAAAATTTCTTGTTCTATTGTTAATCCTTTTTTGTAACTTCCATATTAGGAACGGGTTTTATTATTTTGGCTGATCATTAATATCCTAACGATTTCTGTTTTTACACAAACTTTAGGTTCCTTCATTCTAATTCTAGCAAAAAATGTCTAAGTACCATAAATTCTCAAGTATTTAGAAACACTTAGAACTATATGACATTTACCATACTGTACACTTCACTTACTTCGGAAGACCAGATTTAATCAGTAGTTGATAAATATAACAAACAACGTGTTCTGGAAGTTTATTAAAAAATATAATTCTGCTTTCTAGGTAATTCATATCTAAGAGTAATTAATTAAACCAACCTGAAAAGTTAATTATAAAATTAAAGTTGTTTTACAATGAGATTCTAGAAAATTAACCGAAATCAAGCTTTTCAAAGAACAATAAGTAACAGCAGTTTTAAGAGAGGAAATTTTTTAAAAATCTTCATTTCGTCAGAAAATTGTTATAGTAACGAACGTAGTATTTTAAAGAAGTGTATGTGTTTTAATATTCCCGAACAACACTTGGTGGTTGTTTTTAACTAGTATAAAGCCGTCTTCCTTTGATGTCTCTTTCCACTGACACAGAAATTTTCATCTTGAAGAAATATTTATTGACGAACTACCCACTCATGCTAGGAACTGCCATAATACTTAACTCACTATAGATCTTGGGTGTTTCAAGGGTAGAGACGGGGTTATCTCTTCTTTGGAACCTAGTACTCACCAAAAAACAAAAACAAAACAAAACCCAAACCCACTGCCATCAAGTCTTTAAATCCGGGGCTTATGCTCATCACTTGGTAACTAAACTGGGCGACGTTACATAAATCCACCGGGCCTCAGTTTTTCATCCGTCAAAAGGGAATAACAGTACCCGTGTCACGGGACTGTTATGAGAGGTAAATGATAGCCCAAGCACAGCTCAATATCGGGTATTATCAGTGTTGCAATTCCTTAACGAATGCATTGAACGAGAGAACGAGTGCCTGAATGAATGCATGAATGAAAGAAAAAGCCAACTACTGCCGGATCTTGGAGTTGGAAAACGTTAAACTTCGTCTCCAAAAAGACAAAAACCCGCAAGCTCCAAGCCAGAGCCGGAAGCGCAAGTAAGGGGCGGGGCCGGTTTGAAGGAAGCCGCGCTCTCGGCCAGTAGACACATCTCGTGGAAAACGTGCTTCTCGTCCCACCTATCGTGAATAGGCGAGAACGGGGACAAGTTATCGCGAGGCTTCGTCCTCCAGTCCACGGCTCCCTCTTCCCCAACTCCCTCTGGTGCCGGTTCCGCCCTGTGCTGCCCGGCGCCCCGCCCCGCCCTCGCCCCGCCCTGCCCGGCCCCCGGGGTCCCGCCCCCGGCGCCCCGCCCCTCTTCCTTCGGTCCTTGGCTTGCCATCCAGCGCCGCCTGCGCTCCGGAGTGCTGGCTCCTTCGGCGCCGAGGTGAGTGCGGCCACCCGCCGTGTCGGGTGGCTCACGTGTCAGGGTCCCCCAGCTCGACTCCCGGCGGGGCTGCCCCGGACCGTGTTCGGGAAGTCGACTGGGCCGCGAGGAGCGGGACCCCGGCCCAAACGGGCCGGTCTGGGCCTCAGGTCGCTGCAGTCGCTCAGGCCTCCTCTCCCTCCGGGTCCCGCCGCCCGGTCGGACCTGAGGAGCTCGATACCGGTGTCTGAAATCCCTGCCAATGGGCTCGCTGCTTCCAAACTGTAACGACGTTGGTGCTTGGCTAACTCGGGCTGAACGGCATTTGTTTTGCCTAAGACTTCTGCCAGCGTTTCCTAGTACTGAGAAAACAACCTTTTAAAAAGGTCTTTCATATACAGTTTATAATTCTCTCATCTCCAATATTAGAACATTGAAGTGGGTATCCATTGAATTAAGTACGGGGAAGTTAGTCTCAGAAATTCCTTTCCTTTAGAACATTGCTGCTTGAAATTGTGTAGATTAAGATAAAGAGCTTTGTTTTTAAAATAAGGTGATGTTTGCCGTGCTAATCTCGTGTAGGGGTGCAGTTGTCTACAGTTAATGTTAAATGTACCATGTACTTTAGCTCTAGGTAGGAGGCAGTAAAGTGAATTGTGTTAAGAAAAGTATCCTGTTAAATGCTGTATATTGCCAGTGAATGCATGTTGGAAAATCCTTAGCCTTGTTTATTGTTGGCAGCTTTCACATTTCATCTGTATAGGTTTTATCTCCCAAACTGCCTTTGTAGCAAGATGCATATTAATAGGGTGTGATGATGTTTCTGAGACAACTAATCCAATCCAGAGAATTCAAAAGGCAAGTGGTCAGGCTACAGTGAAATCTCTTATTGAATCTTCCATCAGTAAGTGTGGATGTTATTTTGCTTTATAGTCTTACATTTGTATAAGTTTTGCCTATCACATAAATGATGGTAGGAAGAACTGTGGTTGCATTTTGCAGCAGATAAAGTGCATGAAAGGCTTCAAGGTAGGGCAGTACACAGACTTTGGAATCAGTCTGCTTAAGTTTGAACTGGCAAGTTACTCATCCTGTGAGAACCTCAGGTCCTTCACCTATAAAATGGGCTAAGTAATGTGTATTGCAATGTTATGTGTAATGCAATGGCTATTAGAGATCCTTACGGCATGTAGCGAGCTTGCAATAAGCAATAAACAGATAACACCAATAAATGTATGTTACAAATAGTAAGGTGTCCTACCAAAAAGATCCAAATCAAAACAGGTTACTCCGAAAGGATAGTAGAGGAAAACTTTAGTTTAGATACAAGTTGACCAATTGCTGTCCCATCAACCCTAACTTATGGTGACCTCAGTGTGTTTGAGTAGAATTGTGCTCCATCGGGTTTTCAGTGGCGGATTTTTCAGAAGTAGATTGCCAGGCCTTTCTTCCCAGACATCTCTGGGTGGACTTGAACTTCCAACCTTTCATATAGTGGCTGAATGTGTTAACTAACTATTTGCCACCCAGAGACTCCTTAGATGGGGAAGGGCTTTTTATACTGAAACCCAAAGGACGGAATAGTGCTTTCCAGGTTGAGAGAACAGCAAGTGCTGTGGAAGATTTGGCATTTCAAGGACTAGAGAAACCCAGGAGCTTGGAGAGAGAAGACTGGGAGAGTGCTTCTAGATAAGGCTGGGGAAGTGGGTGGGCTATGTTGTGAAGAGCCTTCAGGCTCTGGTAAGAGTTTGATTTTCTAGTTGAGAAGTATTGAAAGAGTTTATTTAGTAGAATGTGTCAGTAGGAATCAACTCGATGGCAGTGGGTTTGGTTTTGGTTTTGGAGCGCTCAAGTGACTGTGCCTGAGAGAGAGACAATTCACTGCTAAGTGATTAACCTGTTGGAAAGTGGCTCAAGTGAAAACAGAAAACCAAACCAGTTGCCCTTAGTCAATTCTGACTCATGGTGCCCCCATGTGTTACAGAGTAGAACTGAGCTCTATAGGGTTTTCTTAGCTGTAATCTTTACAGAACTGCTGGGTGGTTTTGAACTGCCAGTCTTTGGTTAGTAGTGAAGCGCAAACAGTTTGTGCCACCCAGGGACCTCACGGGTAGAAGCAAGGAGACGAGTGATACCGTTGGCCAGGCAAAAGAGGACATTGGATTGGGATTTTGCCAGATGGGGAGATGTGGGTGGATTTGAGATGTATTTTGAAGTTTCAAACCACTGGCCTTGTGATGGATTGGAAGTGGTGTGACCTGGCATGACTTCCAGGTTCTGGGATTGAGCAGCTGGGTGGATGGAGGTGTGTGTCATTTATGGAGCTGGGAAAAATGGGTGATGGAGCAGGGGGAGGATACAGATGGGGTGATGAAAATCAAAGGCTGTCTTTTGAATGTGTTAATTTTGAGATACTTGTGAGCCATCTAAGCTCCTTCCAGTTTAGGACTTCAGTGAGTACCTTGGAAGCTTCCCTTTCCACACAGTAATTGATACTGTCTTTAGCCTTATCCCTTGCTTTACAGGTGCGAGAGTTCAAAGATGTAGAGAGACTGAATGTCTTGCTCAAAGTCACATAATATGTCTCCTAAAAAACCAGTAAATGAGTAGGTAGCAGAAGTATGGGAAAGTACTGTATTCTTATGTTGCATTGGGGATATTACTGAATATGCCATATTCTCTGCCCTTTTAAATAAAATGCAAATGCTTTGTTATTAGCTAGAAATTAGAGTTTGGAAATAACAGAAAATAAAAAGTTACAAAACTGCGTATTGAAAGCTTTTGTTATTACATTTTGTACTACATAATTTAGTGAAGGTAGTTTATCTTAACGAAAAAAAAATTCTTTAAAAGGTGCTTTCATTAAAGAGTTTGGGAAGGGGTGCCCAGGAAGGCAGAGAGTGGAGCCTTTGAACAAAGCTCAATTTCATTGTGGTTGCTTTAGCATTTCTTTAGTATCCTGTGGAAGGAATCCTATAGTTCTGTGTATGTAAAGAACTCAGCCTTTGAAATCCATTGGACCTGGAATAAAACTCTTGTTTTTATCCCGTATGTGCTGTGGGACTTTGCGTAAATTTTGCAATGACTGTTTCTCCTGTTCAGTGATTGTGAAGTTATTACAGCCCTGTGCCAAATCCATAACTGTCCTTGTTGATTTCATAGCTAGAAGGGAATTTAAAACACTCTTTCCTGGACTCTGGCCTTTAAACTGATCAGTTAATTGCATCTTCATTTTATATGTTAGGCATCTAAGGCCCAGACAGATTGTACAGTAAAAGCTGCAGAAGCCAGAATCTGTGTAAGGCAGAAACCTGCCAGAGATGGAAAACTGAAATATTTCCCACTAAAACGGATGATAGAAAGGTGGTGAGACTGCACCCTATCGAAGGTGGAAAACTTGCAAGACCTGGAAAAAGAAGGCAGTCCCCCCCCCCCAAGGCAGTCCCCTCAAGTTTCAGCTCTCACAGGTTTCACTGTAATAGAGTAATACAGGGTTCTTATTTCCTTGTGCAGTATGTCTTCGTTCACTGAAATAATTTAAAATATAATATAAAGCTATGTATCCTTGGACCTGTGTCTTTGTTAATTTTGATAATCTGTAAAGCTAAAAAGAAAGAAAAGATAAACAATTTGAATATAGGCAGTGTTTTAAATACTAGGAAGTGAAGAAAAGCAAGCTATACGTGATTAAGATATATTTTATATATGTGTGTATATGTGTATATATGTACATATATATTTGAAGTCTTTTAAACTAAATACAAAATGAGGTAGTTCAAGAAGGAAATGGGTTTGCTGCATCTGATATTAAAGTTTTCCTTTGTTACATTTTATGAAACTCCTCTCTGTTCTCTTGGAGCCCTGGTGGTATAGTGGTTAAGAGCTCGGCTGATAATCAAAAGGTCAGCAGTTCGAATTCACCAGCCGCTCTTTGGAAACCCTGTGGGGTAGTTCAACTGTGTCCCGTAGGGTTGCTATGAGTCAGAATCGACTCGACAGCAGCGAGTTTGGTTTTTTTTTTCCTCGCTGCTCTCTTAGACAAGGATTCCTACCTCAAGCTCAAGAACTGTTTTTTCAATTAGAACTACTTCCACTAAGTAGTAAATATTGCTTTAAATGAGAGAGTATTTTTATTAAATTGTTATTTAATTTAATCTCCTAAATAGATGTGACAAATGTAATTGTTTTCAAAGGAAAATACAGGATTGAATGTAAAACTGTCTTTCTAGCATGTGCAAATAGCTTTATATACTAACTGGTTTCTATGGTAATTCTTATAAGAGGCAAGCATTGTAATTATTACATCTTCTTGTTCCCTTTAGAAATGGACCGATTTTGACAAGATGTAGTGCTGCAGCGTGCCTGATGGGATATGTTCAGTCATGGCATCTGAACTTTGTAAGACGATCTCTGTGGCAAGGCTGGAAAAGCACAAGAATTTGTTCTTAAATTACAGGAATCTACACCATTTCCCACTGGAGTTACTGAAAGATGAGGGACTGCAGTACTTGGAGAGACTCTATATGAAAAGGAACTCCCTTACAACCTTGGTATAGTATTCTATTGCGTTTTGAAAAATTCATTTATTTGTTTGATCCTGACCAAGATATTTTTGTCATATTCAGACCAAGATGTATTTCCCCTCTTGTTATATAACAGGTAGTACAAACAGACCTGTAGGGTTCTCATTAGCTGAGGATTCATTATCCAAATCCCTGCAGCTATGAGGTTGCATGAGGAGTTGTGTAGGAAAGCAAAATAGTTACTACTGTAGCACTTATAGAATTAGTCCCCACTTAAAAGCCCCTCTTCATTTAGCATGTGCATCTGTCTTGGTCCATGCTTGCGTTGTGTGTTAGGCTTATCATGTGAGATTGGATGTTACAGCATCCAGCAGACCAGTTAAAAAGTAAAGAAGAGAAAGACGACCAAGGATGACTTTAATTACAGGTGTTTTAGTAAAGAACGATTTTGAAGATTAAAGTATTAAGAGAGGCATTAGGAGAGGGGGAAAAAAATAGACATTTGGAAAGCCTGATGCAGCCTCTGGGGTAGGGGTTGCGGACAAGAACAAAAGACCTCCTTTATGATTGTGCTGTGTAAGTCAAATGGTTTTGAATTGGACTATCATGCAATTAATTAGTTGGAAAAAATGTTGCAACAAGAGCAACATTTGATTCATTCTTTTTATGTTCTAAGAGTAATGACATAGTTATAACCTAAATTTTATTACATACAAGATAAGATAAACTATTTTAAAAATTTTTAAGAGAATGTCTTGGTCAAACCTTTTAGTCCCATTTTTTATTGTGAAATCTCTTTTTTAAATGGATTTACTTTATGTGGACTTTTGTGGTTATCAGTTAACCTGATTTAAATCTTGTACTTGAATTCTAGTTCTTACTCATTTTAGATGATTTGTGATGTTTTATTGTTTCTTTGTGAATTGGCTTATTCTTCATTCTGTTCTCTATATTGGATTTTACTACATATCTGGAAAGTATATTGATGGAGCACTTTCCTGGAAAAGCTTTATTTAATATATGTCAAATAACTACAGTGGGTAGAAAGCATTATCATATTTGCTGTATCTACAAGTAAAGATATGTGTCATTCGTTTGTAATGTTTGGCCTGTTGGTATGTACGTTATGTCAAGTGTCTAGTTAGATTTTTTTAATTAGTTTTTTTTTAGTTTTCAAACTTGGTAATCTATATACAGTTATATGAATCCTTTTTATAAAAACATCGAATGATGTGAAACTTTTTTTTAATCTGGTATTTCTTTTTCCCCTTTGGGGAAGAGTGGTATAAGAAATAATTTGTCAAGGATTATAGCCCACATTTCCCCATATTTGTTATTGATTTATAAAAGAAAAAGTTGTAATTACTTCTTAACCAGCACTCAAAGCCCAGTGGGGTAGACTTTGTTTAAAGAAATTGATCTTTGTTTATAAAACTTAGAATAAATTTTTGGTCCTGTGGCAGTTTCTTAGCTGAAATCTTCAATTTATGAAAATTTTTAAGTATCTACAATTTTAACTGATGCTCATAATGACTCTTAAGCAAACATTTTAAGCTCACGCTCGGCCACCTTTTAAATCATCAAAAATTAAATTGTTGCATATGTTTTTAATGATGCATGTATATATTTTATTTTAATTGTTTTCTCTCAACTAGAACATTTGATTCATGTACCTCAAGGAGCTTGGTAAACTATAAAATGCTGTACAGGTATCAGGTGGTGGTGTTAATAGCAGCAATGATCATAAAGCCATCTGATTCTCAGACTATACTAGATATAAGACAGCTTACTGCAGTTTTTGAAAGAAGATAGGCAATACTCGTTCCAGAGTGCTCTAAACAAGCAACTCTTAGGGCTTTTAGAATGTTTGCTTGTGTTATAGATAAGAGTTTCTAAAGGTGATTTAATATGTGGAATGTGACTTACAACTGACCAAAGGAAAAGCATTCATTGAAAAGATAGTATCTCAAAATACGTTGTGGATTAATTGGTCTTTCTTTTTTCTTTTAAGAAGCTTGAGAACCTGTCAGTCGTTCCCATTTTCAATTCGTTTTATTGTTTCATATTAACATTGTTTTATTGTAAGCCCCCTCCCCTTAACATCCCCCCCCAACCATGCACACTATCTGAAGCCTTTTGGTGAGAAGAGTTAGTCGTTGATGCCCAACTTCTGCCTTCTCCATTTTTCTCTTCAAGTTGCCTGGAATAGCACAGTGGTTTATATGTGTAGGATGTGTATATGTCAGATGTTCAGAACTTGGAGAATGCCTATATTTAGAGCTGAAGCACAGGGGAAAAGCCTTTTTATACATTTAAAAGAAACAACTTTTTAAATTTCTTCATTAAAAAAAAATACATGCCCTTATATCAGACTACAGAGGAATATATGGAAAGTAATTGTCTCTCTTTCGTGTTATCCATTTCTGTACTGTGGGGTAATCAGTGTTAATCGTTTGCTTATATTTTTCCACCCCTTTACTTGTTTTTATGTAATTATATAAAACTCTGTCTTTACATTTGTGTATGTTTTGTTTTCCCTTTTAAACAACAGAAATAGAATCATACTATACATATTTTTCTGAAACTTTCTTTTTTTACTTCATGGTTGATAGGACATTGACAGGTGCTCAGGGGGAAGAGTGTCATTCATTCATTCAACTTGTATTTATTGAGTACTTACTATGTACCCAGCACTGTTCACTGATGCTAGATACATCATAGAGTAAATTCTGACTCTCATGGAATTTTCATTTGTTGGCATTCCAAGTTGAAGACAAAAATATGAAATAAAATTCAATTGCAGAAAGTTTAATGGACAAGTCTAGGTGCCTGTTTTGCCTGGAGCAGTGGTTTGATTTGTTCCTCAGAGCCTCAGGTTTCCTGAGCAGTGCTGAGGTGAGGGATTATGGGCAGGTGCAAAGGAAGGACAGAGCAGGAGAGCGTCACCACTTCTGCCAGAGTACTCTCCTTTTGTTGCTTTATGCATGGTGCTGTCTACACAAAACCCCCCCACAGGTGGGATATGCAGAAGGGGCCTGTAGAAAACGTATTCAGACCCAATTTAGCAGGGTCATTTATTCAAAAAGTTGAATAAGTAAAATAGATGCAGCCAAAGCTGTTCTTCCCTTCTAAGAAACTGTATGGAATCGCTAGGAATCCACAGAGTGGAATAGTAAACCACTGACGTAGCACAGAGTTTGTGAGGGGATGAGTGGGAGATAAGACTGAGGTAAGCACTCTACATTAGGCCCAGGTCATGTGGAATCTTAAATACCTAAGAAGCTAGAAGTATAATTCTAATAGGCAATGTAGAGCCACTGAATATTTTTTGAATATGGGAGTATCAAGCTTACAGCTTCAGGTATTATTCTTTGGGATCTTTTCTGGATGAGGGTTTTGTAAATTTAGAAAGTTTATTTCATTGGCTGCCACACGTTTTCTTGACTGGTTGTTTTAAGTAGGTGGATTTAAAACTGATGGCTGGAGTATAGTATTCATTCATTTCCTTCACAAATATTTAAGCAGTACCTCAGTGTACCAGGGGCTATGCCAGTATTCAAGGTGACAGATTTATGCCCTGCCCTCATGGAGCCTCTACTCTGACAGGTAGTTACTAGAATCCTGTAAGTACAGACTGTTGGTTTGGTTTGCAACAGGGTTTATTTAACCTACTCTAGGGATCAAGGTGGAGCCCTGGTGGCTCAGTTGTTAAGACCTATGGCTGCTAACCAAAAGGTCAGCAGTTTGAATCCATGAGCTGCTCCATGGGAAACCCTACGGGGCAATTCTATGGATCATGGAGAGTCTCCCTGAGGAAATGATACTGAACTGAGGCTGGAAGGATGAGTAGGCATTAATCAGGTGAAAAAATGTCTTAGACTGGGTTCTCTAGAGAAATAAAACCAGTGAAGCGTGTGTGTGTGTGTGCGTGTGTGTATATACATATATACATATATATACATATATATGTATATATATATAAAGGGGGGGCAGGATTTATCTCAAGGAAATGGCTCATGTGGTTGTAGAGGCTGGCAACTTCCAAGTCCATGGGTCAGGCATCATCAGGCTGGAGACTTCTCCTGACTCACATAGCTGCAGGGGCTGACAAATCCGAGATCGGCAGGTCAGATGGCAGGCTACTGGCTCACGGGCTGTGGAGACCGACGAATCCCAAGATCGGCAAGTAAGATGACAGGACGCTGGCTCGAGTCCCAAGAACCGGAAGTCAGATGATGACGAGCCAGATGCAGGAGCCAGAGCAGGCAAGCTTTGTCAGAACATCCATATATATATTGGATGCAGGCCATACCCCTAAGGAAACTCCCTTTTCAACTGATCGGCTGCTCATATCACAAAATGGGGCATGACTGCATCAGATCACAAAATGGAGGATGACTATATCATTACATAACTGCCAGATTACATCATTATGTAACTACCAAACTAACAGTCAGACCACTGAGAGTCATGACCCAGCCAAATTGCCACAACTTTAACCATCACAGAAGGAATGAAGAACTTTACAGAGAGGGAAAAGCATGGACAAAAGCTCTGACGTTGGAGGGAGCACACATGATCAAAAAAATGAAGACCTATATATCATAGGTAGAACATAGAAAGTGGAGTGGACTACCAAAGAGGCCAGTAAGGAATGAGGCCACACATAGTCTTGAACACGTTGAGGTTTGGGGACTTTTTCATAACTAGTGACAATATGGAAGTGGAGATACTAAGTAGGCAGGTGGACAAGGTTGGTAGCTATAGAGGTACAGAAGAGATTTTAGTTGTAAAAAATGAGTCAGGCTTGGCCATTTCCCCTATGATTGACCCAGTCCGGAGACTTTAACTGGAACATTTGGGGAAAAAACATGCTCCATTGGGGTTGCTAAATTGATAGAATCTAAGCCTGAAGCTGTTGGTGGCCCTCTTGGCTACTTCCCTTGAGAGCCTGCCTTGGAATGAAGCAGGTACAGAGGAGAGCAGATCTGAGCAGCAAAGAGAAATGGCTTCCTGAGACATCTCTT